GAAGAGTCTCAAACAAGATGTTCCTTCCTCTGAACTAGTAAACAAACTGACGCCAAGCTTGGTGTGTTGAGTGGCTGTTTGGCTCACAAAAAACTAGCTTCCTATATACTTCAATTATGTTCAATAATTGTTAAAATGACTAAAAAATTTAATACAGTCAACCCTCACTTTACATGGTTAATATAACCCACAGGGTACCGCGGAAAGTGAGAAACGCTTAAAGCGAACAACATAACATATGGGATTAATTGAAATAGAGACCGGGCTGACCCCCAAACTCCACTTTTTGACGACACACAACTATGTTGTAGTAAAAATTTTATCTTAACTTTATGATGGTATGCACAAACAATTAATATAGAAGAGGTTAGGTTAGGAAAATAAAGGTTAGGTTAGGAAAAATAAAGGTTAGGTTAGGAAAACTAAAAGTTAGGTTGAACACTTACGTTAGTAGAAGAGATGGGTCGGCATACGGGGATGGAGGCTGGTTCCGAGGCAGAGGGTAGGCTACTGGCCCTCAGGTGAGTCGCCATCACTGTCATCCACACTTGTCAGGGCCTCCCTGACAAATCCCTCAAAGTCATCTTCACTGTCTCTACCTGTCACTATCACTGGCTTGGGCTGGCTGTGGTGGGTTGCGGGCGAAGAACTCTGTTATGCTTTGCTGACGGCTGGTGTTTATGTTGTCGTGATAAACCTTGAAGTTGGGCTCCATAGTCTGCAACAGCTGGGTAGTGAAGATTTCATACCTGTTTGCGTCAGGGTCGTCGGATAGGAGGAGCTTGATTTTCTCAACACACTCGATGGCACCCCTAACATTACTATGGGATAAGCGGTGTTCTTCTTGGGATGACGCACCACCTGCCTCTTCACTGACGTCATCATCATCTACCATCTCGTCGGTAGTCACATCAGGATCCCTTATCACCTCCAGGATGTCGTCGTTGGTGGTCTCGGAGAAGCCTGTAGCTTTAACACTCTGCGCAGCTTCTCTGGCAAGGTCCACTGCTACTGCAACAGTCTGAACCTCACCAGTCACAGATTGACTCTGCCTTACGCCCGGAATGCCTTGCAACACATGTCTCCATGCGTGACGAACAGTTGCTACAGACAGCTGATCCCATGCCTCCACCAAGAAGTCCACAGCTTTCTTGATGTTGAATATTCTCCAGAATTGTTTGAAAAGTATTTTTTGCTCTGCCAACTGTTGATCCTCATCGTCTTCGCTCTTGCTATCGGTGGTGGTGTCACTCAGGTTACACAACTCTTCCCTGGTGTTGGTGTAGTCGTTCAGGAGCTTGAATTTTTTTGTTGAGAATGCAGCTTTTACATTACAGATTAACTCTTGGTCCATGGGCTGTAATATAGACGTAGTGTTGGGAGGAAGGAAGACCACTTTTACGTTGGGGTGACGATCTAACAGTAGGGGCGAGTGTCCTGGTGCGTTGTCCAGCAGCAACAAAATCTTGAATGGCACATTCTGTTGCTCACAGAATTTCTTTACATCGGGAATGAAACAGTCATCAAACCAGGAGAGGGACAGTGTAAAGAACATCCACACCTTACGTGCGGTCAGCCAGTGGACATTTAGCTTGGTCATGTCCATGCTCTTGTAGGCGTGCGGCTTGCGGGCTGTGTGGATCACCGATAACTTGAGCTTACAGGTACCGGAGGCATTGGTGGTAAACAGGACGGTGATGCGCTCCTTCTGCAACTTACGGCCCCGAATCTTGCTGGCATTCTTCACAACAAAGGTCTTGGAAGGTAGCTTTTTCCAAAAAAGACCAGATTCGTCCATGTTTAACATCTGGTCGTCGGTGTACTGTCCTTCCTTCATAATCTCACGTAAAAACGGAGGAAATTCCCTAGCCGCAGCACGGTCAGCACTAGCTTCTTCACCACCAATGTTTATATTGGTGATCTTGTTCCGCATCTTAAGACCTCTGTAACCACCCAGAGGAAGCATTAAAGGGTTTGGGCTCTGTAATTCCCATCTTTCGTGACACTGCAGCATACAGTTCACGTGCGTACTTCTTAACAGAGCGCGTGTCGACCGCCATGTTCCGTCACGCCTGGCGCACCAAGTAGCTCACAAGTAATTTTTCCGTCTTGAGAAGCACCTGGTTGTGGAAATACTTGATCATAGAAGCACCTGTAGACTTTGTGATCTTCATGTGCTCCTTTATCTTGGCTGCATCCTTCTTTATCGTCCGGATCGTAGATTCGTTCACACCATGCTGGCGCCCCAAATCAACCTGTCTTGTTCCTTTCTCTAACTCTTGGATGATCTTGTACTTCACCTCGTAGCTTAAGGAACGTCGTGTCTTCTTGGGCTTAGGGCAGCTGGGTCCAGGCAAGGAAAGGTTTCTCTCTGGGGGCGGTGGTCCGGCGGAAGCCATTTTACAGAACAATGGATGCACGATTACACGGTTTGGCCTGGAGGGATGAAACTGCCGCGGCTAGGTCAAGCGTCGTCTTTCCTCCCTCCCTCCCCTGGGTGGACACGTCATATTACTTAAAACCAATTACAGCTAGCAGCGGAGGGAGGTAGGGATGCATGGCCAATCACAGTCCGATACGTCATATGACGTCACTGATAACGCAATAGAGACATGCACTGCGCAACCTTACTGCGCGGCTTGCCCAGGCGGAGGCGGGAGCAGGCGGGTGGGGCGAATCTAAAAATAGCATCGAGCCGGACACTCTCCGCGTAAAGGGGTACACGCACCGCGGAATGTGAGCATCCTGGGTTACGGCAGGGCACCGCGTAAACGTGGAAATGCGGAATGTGGGACCGTGTAAAGTGAGGGTTGACTGTATAAAACTTTTAAAATTATTGAATAGTACATCCTTCTTGATATTTACTAAAATGGTAAGGAATTTAAACCCTAAAACCGATTGCTGTATTGGCCAACTAATACTACAGCTGGTGGGCAGCCAAATGCAGGTGAAAACATGTTGGGAAAAATTTGTAAGGAATTCGTTAACCGAGGGTTTGCTCGTTAACCAAAGTGAAGAATCTTATGGAAGGTAATTCGTTAACCGAGGGATCACTGTACAGGTAAAAGAAATAATTGTCCTAAGGGCAAACACGTAAAGGGAATATCCATATGTTTGTACACAAGTAAAAATGTCCCCCCGTCAGCAAATAATATTCGCAGGTTTGGCGATTCGTGGCCATTTTGAGGTCCTAACCCCCGCAAATTTTGAAGAGCATGCTGTTCTGTACAGTAATTGTGTTAAGCTGAAATTCATATCAGATAAAAATATGATTTGAAATAATACTCATACTCACCACGTTTATGCCATGTCTTTAATGAATACCTATGTATACAAATATTTTCTGTATTCATCATCTCGATGGACTATTACGTAAATCGGGAAATATTCACAAAACAAAATTTTGAGCTTTAGATTAACTACCGGTATACTGCACTGTTTGCTTAAATAAACATTTCTCAATACTTTTTCCTCTTAGTAATTATAAGAATATTAATTGTTGTTTATACTTTGAAGTGTTGTATTATTTAGCACCTGAGAATAAAATATAAAACATTAAAGATTTCCTTTCAACAGTCATTCGTTACGGATGGAAAAAATCTAAAATTTGGTTAAATTGCTAACTTCTATGAAGCCTTGTTCAACTAATGTATAGTAATTTTTGAGTACCAAACACCTTTCATATTGTTCTAAATACAAAGCAACATCTAAACAAGGAAATAGCCATATGCAGAATATTCTGCATTTGAAATAAGTGTTATCGTCTTGTGTTGCCATATCGTCTCAGACTGGCTGTTTTGTATTTTCCATGTGCGCATTTTCTTTGTCTTTCAAACATGTGATTGGGATATAGCTATTTTACTTTTACTATCTATCTTGAAGCCTTTTACCTGCAAGAATATGAAGGAGTCCCAGAAAAATGTTATGTACTGTAACAAGAAATTTGGCTCGGCAGTTTGTTAATACAGTATACTGTATACCATCTTGATCTAACAATGTCCAGCCCACTGGTCAGTCACTCGCTGGGCTCCCACCAAGTTGCCAGATACCGCTGTTGAACTAATACTGTACTGAAAACCGTGACAATGCCTCGACTGTACAGTCCCTGACTTATGAACATCCGACTTACGAACACCTGCCGTTGCAAACGAGGTTAAACTTTAAATTTAAAGTACTGTACTTTATTTACCTGATGACTTATTTTTTACTTTCATTACTGTATTTTGTAATTCTATTTCTTCTTTTCCCTTAAATTAAGTGATTTTAGATGTATATAAGCATTTAAGCTATGATTTGGTGGGATTTTAAACGTTATTCTGTAAGTACGGCATGCACATAGCATGTGTTTCGACTTGAGATCGTCCTCAGGAATGGAACCCGTTTGTAACATGGGGACCCCCTGTATTTTGTTTTCAAAACTTAAGGAACGCTTTCTCGAGAGGTAAATTTTGCATACTCATCAGTAGAGGTATTATCATCAAGTGTAAGTAAAAAATACAAAATTTTCTATATTTATTGTCATTTACAGTAACACTGTTTATTGTAGTCAGTATTCTTAAACATTTATTATTTCCTTCCTATGTTAAGTCATACCAGGAACCTAACCCCATTTTTCCCATTGATCAATGTGTCTACATTAGTGAATTCTATTTTTTTTTTTTTTTTTTTTTTTACAGGGATTAGCCCACCCAGGCACAGGTCACTGATCCACATCAGGGTCTGGGTGACGTAAATGCAATAATAATAATTCAGATAAGTAAAAAAAATATACAAAATACAAAAATAAAAATGATAATGATAACAATAATAATAATAACAACACTGTAATAATAATAATAATAATAATAATAAAGAACCATAAAGAAAGACAAAAATGAAAAAATGTCACAAGTGAGAAACGATATACAGTATGTACAGTATGTTGTGTTGACAATAGTAAAAGAAACAATTGAGACCCTGGAATTGTGTGTAAATGACATTATTATTTTTTTCTCTTTTAGGGGCTGAATGCATATGTGAGGATTACTAAACACCACACCATCATGAAGTCACCATCCTCTAGCTCATATATTACCAAGGCATGGGTGGAATTTATGCTTACTGAGTATGAAAATAAAAAAGAAACAGACACTAAAGTCACTGTCAAAACATACAGTATAAGGAATGGTAAGATATTATAGTGTTTCTCATTATAAACGTTTTATCATACTCAAAGTGCAGTACTGTATAGTATTAAGTTGTAAAAAGAGAGTATTGTACCCATAAGCATGCTAAATATTGCACTGTATACCATAACACTGAAAACAACTACCAGTTTTACTGTTTTTTAATGATATATTTCCTTCAGATGGATAACAGATAGAGGAATAGAGTACAGGTATTAGTTTATGTTACAAGTCATGTTTCTTACAACTTACTTTTTCTTTCACTCTCAGCTACCAAACCAGGAGAAAGCTTCAATGCTGAACTTATTCTTCTCGATGTTCAAGCTGTGCTCAGTGGTGGAGAGGGTCCTGAGGAAGCCCCAGAAGACAAGGAATACAACCTCATTGTTAAGTTTCTGACTAAAGACCCCCTCTCTTGTGAGCTCATAAAACGATGTGGTTACCACATAAAAGAACTTATGATGTATTCTGAAGTAGTTAAGGAACTCAATGATTTTCAAGCTATTCATGCTAATGATGAATTTCGTTTAGACCTCCCAGAATATATTTATGGCAAGTGTACTGAGAAAGAGTATGTATTGGTGATGGGAAATATCAAGGTATTAGGATATGAAACTAATCCAAAAAGAGAGGGGCTAGACTTTCTACATGCAAAATTAGCTGTTAACCATGTAGCCAGGTTACATGCAGTTTCTTATGCATATGATAAATCTCATAATTTTATAGAGAAGTACCCTTGCTTTCAGTTCAGTAATGCCATAAGTGCATTTTTTAAACCAGTTGTATGGGCCTCACTAGCAAATTCCATCACATTTTTAAAAAGTAAAAAGACTTATGAAGAGATGGTACATAAATTAGAGACAGGTAAGACTACTCTACCACTCAAGTTTGCTGCATTGTGGGATGACCAGACAAGACACAAGTTCCTCTGTCTCACACATGGAGATTTCTGGAACAGTAACCTCATGTTCAAACATGGAAGTTCAACAGTAAATGAAGAGAGATCTATTGAATCACTTAAGCTTATTGACTGGCAGATTTCACAGTGGAACAATCCGGTATTTGATCTCCATTACTTGCTTAACACCTCAACTTCATTTGAAATGAGAAGAGACCATGCAGAAGAAATTCTTAGACATTACCATACAACATTCACTGAAGCAACAACAAAGATGGGTACCCCTGTGCCCAATTGGAATTATGAACAATTTAAGGCAGAATTTGAAAGAACATCTCTTGTAGGGTTTCTCATGGGGATGTGCCTCATACAGGGAACTTTAAGTAAAGCTGGAGAGAACATTAACCATACAGGTTCAACATGCCTTAGTAATGCCTGTTGTCACCCCTGTAAAGTTGTTGTAGACAAGATAAAGACAGGGATAGCAAAAGTTACTGTATCTTTTGCCTTTAAACCCTCATCATCCTATATCATGCGAGCATGTGTTAAGAAAGTCTTGAGCCCTATTGGTCAAGAACTAGTTGAAGGCAATAATGAGGTTTTAAATGGGCGACTTCTGGACCTCCTGATGGAAGCAGATGAAAAAGGGGTGTTAGATGTGTTGACTTTATAAAAGTGTTGGAAACGTTACTTAAGTGTACAGACCATAACATTTGGTCACGTCCTTTGCTTACTGTCTTTCTTATTCAGGTGATTTGCCTTTTCAGAATATCAGCAATTACAGATGCATTTCTTAATATTACATAGGTGAAAAGATTCCTATTTTTATATCTTTTATGAGTAAATATTCATAAATTGAAAATGAACTTAATGTACAGTTTAATAAAGTTTATACTTATGACAGCTTGAGGAGAGTGGATATCAGGGAACTTTATTGCTTCTGCTTTTGTAGCTCAGTATTGTAAAGTATTATGACATTAATTAAGTGAAAATGTCTCAGTCACATTTATGCGTTATCCCCATGACAGGTTTTAAGATGACTATATGAATATAATAAATTGTGTCCCTTGTGCTTTCTATAATGAATTGATTACATAATGATAGATGCCTTTATACACAGTCAAAGCTAGCTGTTCTGATTTTACTGTACACTACGTATATTTAAATTGATTGCTTATGTAATGTATTTCATGACTGATTCATTGAATGTACAGTATCTTTATCTGTTTTACATTTTTAATCGCCAATAAATGGATGCTCTTGACAAAATTAAAAATGTATTCTATTTAGATATTATTAGTCCAACTATTTACGAACAATTTATTTTAGATAACAAAATTAGTTACAAAACATATACACTACGTACTATATGATTCACAAGCTATGCAGAATAAAAATATTTTTGTAATTTTCTTGTTAACTTAGTTTTTGTATGACAATGGCAACTTACATTAGAGGTATTATTGTACACTGATGTATTTTAAAATACCAAACTATATTTATTATCCAATGTTGAATGTTGACAATTTTAACTACAAGTTCTTTGTTTCTGTGGTTTACAAGTTATTTTAATGGCACAAAAACTATATGATGTAGATTGTTTTTATTTTTTAAAACTTTATTTCTTCCTTTGTTATTTTATATACATACAGTATTTAAACATACCATAACCATTTATTTTTAAGCTTTACCATCACAAATGATGTACACTCGCAACAAAAAGTATCGGTGCATACTGTTGTGTGAACAATTTGAGACCAGTGACGATAGGTATTGGGAAAGGCGAGTTGTTCCAGCTGTATGTTGGCAGCCCTGGTCAAGTGAAACAAACCGTTATAAATAAGGTCGGGAAGTGATAAATAGACTGTATGAAATATTGAGGAACTCCCTGTTAACAAAATTATTTGTGATACTTGTGAATATTGCCACATTAATTTATGCTACCAAATAAACCACTCAACCTGGTCGTCCTGAGTGGTGGTGCAACGTGGACGGCCGCTCCGAGACCTGTCGTCTGTAGCACCAGTTTCGAGGTATCGCCGAATCCATCGTGCAGCGGTGTTCCTGTGGACACCAACCCGCCGGCTAATATCTGTGACGCCGAACCCTTCATTATGAAGGGCAATAATAGTTCCTCGTGTTCCCTCTGAGGTTTCCATGTCGTCTGGCATGTGTAGATCTCTATTGCTTCATATTGCTTCTGCTTTATACCCACGTTCACCGAGACCGAACCCTCGCTCATCATTCAGTCGACACAAAGCAACAATCCGAAAAGAGGAAACAAACACACTGATTGTCAGCCATATGGCAACACCTAGTGGAGGGGGGGGCAGTTATGAGGATACACTTACCAACCTTCCCGACATATCACAGTGTATACGTACAGTTTCGGAAGTCGTCGATCTCACCCTGCACCGATACTTTTTGGTGAGAGTGCACATGGTGTTTATAAAATCTTTACTGATTTTATAGAAATAGGGGCAAAAGGGGATATTTTATGTGATGCTGTAATATAATCAGAGCTATTTTTTATTAATATAACTTAAGCATTTAATTCTACATTACCACTGTCAGTATTTCTGCAGATCTCAAATCTGTTAGCTGCATTGCAACACATTTTACAGCTTCTATGGCATGAATTTTGCAACTGTCCCCTCTATAAGTTCTCATAGACCCTGCAGATCTAAAAAAAATTTGATTTACCTCTGACTTGATAAACCCCATGCAAAAAATCCAAAGGCATTAAATCAAGATTTCGGGCTGCCCATGGTCTGTTGCTCCTGTGTCCAATAAACTAATCTAGAACACGTTTGTTAAGGTACTCCCGAACGATTATTATGTAATGACAAGGAGCCCCATCCTGTTGAAAGACAACAGTGTTAATACAGTACCATGAACGAAGCTGCAGTTGCAGAAATCACTCCACAGATGCTGTAAAATGTGTTTCACAATGCAACTAATAGATTTGAGATCTATAGAAATATTAACAGTGGTCATGTAGAATTAAATGCTAAGGATGTATTAATAGATATACCTCTGATTTTAGTACTGCAGGTATTGCATAAAATATCCCCTTTTGCCTCGATTTCTACAAATTTGTTGTGACTTTATGAACACCGTGTACAGTATTATGTGTAGAGTTGTACTGTACTGTAATTAAACAATGGAGATTTTGTTAAGGCCACCCTGCTCATTGGGTACCGGTATACAGATATATACTTATCCCACTGTAGCTAAATAAGTGGCATGCTGTGTTCATTGCTTAAGGTCCGAGCTGTGTATTGTACCTTGGTAGACTGTGGACCAGCCTATCTACCACATGGTTGGTTGTCTCACCACAGTCATTATACTATGACTTAAATAAGTGCTGTAAAACAGGTCAGAGGTTGTTAAGATAGGAATAATTAAGAATTGCCTGCAAGATTTTGAAGTCGACTAATGGAGATTTTTTCTTTCAGTTTATCACCAGAAAAATGTCTTGAATACAGTAATAAAATACAGTATGGTGAAAGTTGGCGTGGTAAATTAAGATTATTATTATTATTATTAGATTTGCTATGCTCTTAGTGTCAGTCAACTTTATATTTGTAAGAATGAACTCAAGAATTTAGAGAATGTAGTACCATAAGTATTATGGAACATGCCCAGGACTGCTATGCTCAATTGCCCCAAATCTAAAAAAACATAATACTAACTTTCTCTGTAAATATTCAATTTACTTTATACAGGTATTAAATATTTTGTATTGTTTTTGCAAAAATTCTGAGAATTTAGTGGTTGGCTATGTACATAAAAATCATAATTTATTACAAAAATCATGTAGGTTGGAGATTTCGCCATTACTTTTAGTTACAGTATTACCCCGCTTTACGCGGTTTCACTTAACGCGATTTCTCATATACGCGGTGCCTCGCCAGAACCGAACTTTCATTTAACGCGGATTTTTTCCACATATACGCGGGAAGCGGCGCGGGCACGATGCGCACAAGGTCGCCCAGTCATCAAAACATTACCGAGTTCTTCACCCGCCACCCACCACAGCCGGCCCAAGTCAGTGATAGTGATAATTATAGTGAGGATATGGACTTTGAGGGGTTTGACAAAGAGGCCCTGCAAGCCTCTGTGGTGGATTGTGATACAATTGATACAAGTGATACAGGTGAGGGCCAATAATCTGACCTCTGCCTCAGAACCAACTCCCCATCCCCTTGTGCCCAGCCATCTTTTCTACTAATGTAAGTGTTAAAAAACCTAATATTATTGATATTTCTCTTAATTATTAATTGTGTGTGCATACCATCATAAAGTTAAGATAATATTTTTACTACAACATAGTTGTGTGTCATCAAAAAGTGGAGTTTGGGGGTCGGGCCAGTCTCTATTGGAATTAATCCCATATGTTTTGTTGTTCACTTAACGCGGTTTTCACATAACGCGGTACCCTGTGGGTTCAATTGACCGCGTTAAGCGGGGTACAACTGTACAAGTATTCCGCTCATAGATGTGAAGAATATAAAAACCACAGCACAAAAATATTTTTATAACTGGTAACTTGTCCAAATTTCTTAGTCTTCAAAAAGAATAATTGGCTGAGCCTTTCCATTGTCTATAAATTATTTACTAAAATTAGATTTTTTAGCTGTTGTTCACTTCAAAAATTTTAGCCCCAATAAGCAACCACTTATTATTGATAATAATGAACACTTACAGAAAAAATTATAAGATTGCTAATTTTAGAGTCCATGTGATATCCTCGTCCTTTGTTGAGGATACCATCAATACTACCAAATATTGTTTTTATTTTCTTGGTTCGTATGTGTGCATGTATAGTATATATTTTGTAAACTTATGTACAGTAAAACTACACAAAGAAGAATTGATTATTGTAAAATATATATTTTCAGTTTTCAAAGGATATTTTCTGTAATTTATTGGTTTAAATTACCGGTATACACCTAAACCCCGACTTACGACGGGGTTAGGGACCCAAATCCAGGTCGTAAGTCCGATATGGTCGTAAGTCCGATATAGATAAAAAAAAAAAAATCTACAATGAATTACAGTACAGTAAAAGTAATAAATAATGATGAATGGATACAGTACAGTGAAAGTAATAAATAATAAGGAATGGATACAGTGTGACTGAGCACTTAACCTTTAATGTAGTCAGCTGAATGCACATGGGGCCCCCATAATTTTCTAATTATACATGGAGACTACATTACTGGAAACTTTTCGGTATAGAAAATGCGTGTGTCATTTAAAAATTTTTTTTTTATCTGAGGCGGTCGTAAGTCGACGGTCGTAAGACGTAGTCGTAAGTCGGGGTCTAGGTGTATAGAGAGCTTTCTCACTTATGTGTTAATTACACGAACTCCAAATACTAAGAATGTAGAAAGGTAAAAAATATCAAAATTATACTCCCTTCCCTCCCCTCTCTCTCATACCCTGTATATATTTATGGAACCAAATCATGTCTTACTAAATGATACCTATTATAATTTGGTCCCCATAGCATGATGGCATTTCCTATGCTCATGAAACAAGCCATCCTCCACCAGAAAATATAGAAAATTGGATACACAGAGAGAGAGAGACACACACACACACACACACACACTTAATTATCCGAAATCCTTGGGGCCAGAGGCATTTCGATTTAATTTTGGTTTACAAAAATTTTTTTTTTTTTTTTTTTTTTTTAATAGCCCACTCGGGCATAGATCACTGACCCACCTGGGGGACGAAAATATAATAAAAATTATAATAATAATTCATAGGTCTAGGTCGCGTTTCTCACTTTTGATCTTTTTTTCATTCTTGTATTTCTTTATTATTAATATTTTATTACAGTATTATTTGTATTATTATTATTATTATTATTATTAATTGTATTATTATATTTTATTATTATTATTGTTATCATTATTATTTTATTTTGGTGTACAGTACAGTAATACCCTGCTTTACGCGGGGTTCTTTTACGCGTGTCTACATTTACGCTGTACCCCGCCAGAACCGGAATGTTCACTTTACGCGGTGCATCTACTCATATACGCGGGAAGCGGCGCGGGCAGGGTGCGCACAAGGTCGCCCAGTCATCAAAACATTACCGAGTTCTTCACCCGCCACCCACCACAGCCGGCCCAAGACAGTGATAGTGAGGATATAGATTTATATGGACTTTGAGGGGTTTGACAAAGAGTCCCTGCAAGCCTCTGTGGTGGATAGTGATACAAGTGATACAGGTGAGGGCCAATAATCTGCCCTCTGCCTCGGAACCAACCCCCCAACCCCGTGTGCCCAGCCATCTTTTCTACTAATGTAAGTGTTAAAAAACCTATTATTGATATTTCTCTTAATTATTAATTGTGTGTGCATACCATTATAAAATTAAGAAGTTATTTTTACTACAACGTAGGTATTGTGTCTGAAAAAGTGGAGTTTGGGGGTCGGCCCAATCTTTATTTCAATTAATCCCATATGTTCTGTTGTTCACTTTACGTGGGCCTCCATGGGTTCAATTGACCGAGTAAAGCGAGGTATTACTGTATTTTAATTAAAAATCTTATTTACTATGAATAATTATTATTATTATAACTATTATTACTATTATATTACATTTTCG